AATTTTCCACAATATTATTATTATTATTATTAATATTAATAATAATGATTAATTTCATAAATTTTTATTTATTTATTTAAATTATTTAAATTATTATTATTATCATTATCAAATTAATTTTTTTTTTAGTTTTCATTAAATTTTTAATTTTTTTTTTTTTTTTTAATGTTAAACAACCTAATTACTATGAGATTATTATTATTATTATTTATTTATTTATTTATTTACATGATAAGAAGGCAAGAGAGAAAAAGCCATTTAATTTTTTTTTTTTTTTCTTTTTTCACATCATCATCATTATTATTATTAAGAGATTCGAATTTTCTCCTTTTTTCTTTCTTTATGTTTAACTTATGAGAAAATAAAATAATAATAATAATAAATAAACCAATAAATAATAATAATAATATTATTAATGAAACAACAACAACAACAAAAGTTACAAAATTGACCAACAAAAAAATTTTTTCTTTTAAAATAAAATTAATAATAATAATAATAATAACGACAATAATATTAATAATAGTAATGATAATGATAATGATAATAATTAAGAATTCTTTCTTGAGATTTTTTAAGTTTTAAGATTTTTCTTTCTTTTTTTTTGTTTTCTTTTCCCAAATTTTTTTATCAACACACATAAACCAAAAAAAAAAAAAAAGGAAGAAAATAGTTAGTGATAAACATATTGATAAAACATAGCAAAGGCATTTTTAAATACAATTAAATATATATATATAAATATATATATATATATTAATAATCATTTCACCACGTTTATCGTTATCATTTCAACTCGATGATAACAATCAATGAAAAAATCAAAAGAAAACAAAACAACCAAATTTTTTTTACACATCCAAATTTCACATTCGAAATCAAATTATTAATAATGATAATAAAACATAAAAATAAGTACACAAATGGTAATATATATATATAACTTTTCATTTATCATCATTATCACCATTATTATTATTATTATTATTATTAAAATTTTCTTTTCGATATTTACATATAAAACCAATAATAGTTTGTTAACCAACAAAATTGATTCGAATAAGTATTTTTTTTTATTAATGAAAATTTTCCAGCATTAATTTTACAATAATATATATATATATATTCGAAAACTAACAATAATAATAATGATAATGATAATGATAATAGTGATAATAATGATAATAAATTAAAAAACATTTTTTCTCCCTTTTTTACTTTAAATAATTAATTAAGTTAAGTACTCGATTAAGTCACTACATTTTTTTTTTTGTCGTTATCAGCTGGAAATTTTTTGTCTGATATCATTTATATAATTAATATACATAATATTGACATAATAATAATAATAATAATAATTTATCCCAATATATATATATATATATATAAATAATTTATATAAAGTAAAAAATGATTAGTTAAATTTTTTATTTTTTACGAGAACTAATAATAATAATAATAATAATGTAAGACATGATTAAAGTGCGAATGAATTTTTATATGTAAAAATTTGTTTGTTTGTTTGTTTGTTTGTTTTAAGATTAGTCCATGCAATTAAGATTATTATTATTATTATTATTGATAACACATTTCGATTAGAAAAACATTTTTTTCTTTATAATTTTTTTTAGAAAATGGTGAAATTTTGAAAAAAAAATCTTATTATTATCAATACTCAAATATGAGAGCAGATGAGTGTGTGTGTGTGTTAAGAGAATAAGGGGTGAGGTTGAGGTTGGGGAGAAGGGTAGGTGCGTGTGCGTGCGTGCGAAAATATCATTTTAGAAAAAGAAAAGTAAATGATGCTCACTATCAATAATTAAATAATATTTTTTACACGTCCACAACCATTTTTTTATGAATATCGGTGTTTCCGACAACATTACAAAATTCTTCAAAATTTATCTTTCCATCTTCGTCCTTATCGGCAAACAATATTGTTTTATCGACAATTTGTTGTAATTGCGTATCTTTTAAATTGTTACCGACCATCATTTTTAAAACCTGGAAAATTTAATTTAATAAAATAAGAGCATTTTATCTTTTCGAAATAATCGATGAGCATTATTAGGACAAAAAAAATTAAAAAATCATCTAACCTGAAATAATTCACCATTTGAAATATATCCATCGTTATCCATATCGTAAATTCTGAATGCAAACCTTAATTTAGATTCTTTATCACCTTTAACGCTGAATTGTGATACACCTTGAATGAATTCCTTAAAATCAACCTGAAATTTATTCACAAAATAATGACTCACACATGCATTTTATGTTTGCTACCTTGCAAAATGCAAAAATCATATAAATTCTCACCTCTCCATTACCATCAGCATCGAATATATCTATAACCCGTTGTACTAATGGGTTTTGCTGTAATTCTGGCAATGACATAAATTCATCAATACTTAACGCACCTGAATTATCCAAATCGAGTTTTCGAAATCTTTTTCCTAATCTACGTATTTCATCTGCATCGACTAAAATCAAATCATTACAATTTACCATTATTTACAATCGAAAAATTTATTCGAAATGTTTCAATTAACACAAAATATGTTACAATAATATTAAATTAACAAAATGATATTTATGTTTGAGAGAGAGAGAGTGGGAGAGAGAGAGGGGGGGTAGATTTTTATTCTATATTTAATTCCTACATAATATGTGTATTGTTTTTATTACTTACAATTAGAGCACAGCTCCATAGGTAGAGAACTTTCATTACCCTGTAAATAATAATAATAATAATAATAATAGTAATTAAATATAAATGCGTATTAAATAAATAATAAATCGTATTAATGATGATAATAAATTTATTGATAAAAAATAAAAATAAAAAATATGGGGCATCGGTAACGGCCCCTAGATTAATCAAAGATATGCAAATTAGTAAAAAAAAAAAAATTATTTGACGATCATAATAATGAGAACAAACAAACGGTTACGATTTATTATATTCAATACGTTACAAATAAAACAAATCAAATATTATTATTTACCATTTTTTAACCGGATTATTACAGAAAAAATAAAAATAAAAATTATTATTATTATTCAGATAATGTTATTAACTAATAAATAATAATAAAAAAAAAAAAAAAAATTTTTTCTCTCTCTCTCTGCAGTATAAATTGTTTTGCCCTAGCGGTAATAAATGGTACTAATGTTAAATGTTTTTTAACTCTATGACTTTTTTATGGATTATTATTATTATTAAAAAATAATTATTTATTTATTTATGTAAACGATATAATAATAATTATTCATTCGTTAATTATTTAAATTATTTATTTTAAATTTTTATTTACAGAAAAAAATAATAATAATGATAAAATAAAAATGATTTGGTAAATTTTATTTTTTTTTTAGTTGTCGTTTTCCGCGCGCTTTTTATTCATTCGAAAAAGCAGACGACGTTCGATCATAGAAGAAATCAGTATCATTAATTATTTAACAGTTAGATAGATGATGATACAATTTTTTATAGATGTGTTCGATATTCGTTATTTTTAATTTTTTCAAATTTTTACAAATTCATTAACATCATGTCGAGTTTAACACACAGAAAGGTAAATACCATTTTAATTTATTTGTTTAATCTAATCATTTAAATGATCCGGTTTATTATTATTTAAACTATTTTAAAAAACAAATATAGATAAGTTTTATTTGACATTTTTTTTTTATATGCCCGCTCGGTTTCTTTCTACGCGATCAGCCATTAATTAATTTTTTATGATTTTCATAAAGACCAAAAAAAAAAAAAAAATTTCGATGCAAATTTTAATTTGTTTTTCACCACAATTACATTTACATTCTTTCTTTTTATGTATAAATAAATAAAAATTTCAATACCATCCAACATAGGTTAACTTTTAGTTTTAAAAAAAAATTATTCATTTTTTTTTTTTTTTTCTAGAAAAATCAATATTAATAATAATAATAATGATGAAAAAATATTTTAAACGTTTAAACGTTATTATAAACAAGTTATTAAATTATTAAAATGAATTTGATTAATTATAACTTGTTTTTCAAATACTCAAGGTCTCATTAACATTTAAAAAAATTTCAATTATTTATTTTCAATTATCGATAATGTGAATTAATATTTCTTTAATCTTTGATAAAAAATCATGATTTCCCTTCCCAAATTCATCTTCTTTTATTTTTAATTATATTATTGATAAGAAAATATTAAAAGTTTTTAAATAATATTAAAAGATTTTCCTAAATTTGTAATTACCTAATTCAATCGACAAAATCGATAATAACAACCTTGATTGTCTATAATCATTAATTAATTAATTCTCGAATATTATTATTATTAATAATATTTTTTTCATCATTATTAATTTATATTATTGAAAAATTTTAATTGGAAAAAAAAAAAAAAAATGAATAAAATTTTTTAGAAAAAGAAAAATGATATTACAAAAAAAATAACTAAACTATCGATAACGGTTAATAATTTTCAAATTCGAATAAGTGAATTTTTATTTATTTATATTTGTTTTACCCCTCCCCCCTCCCTCCACCTCTTCCCCCCATTTATTTATTTATTTATTATAACAAATTTTTAATTACTCGAACAATTTTTTATTATTATTATCTTTTTCGCACACACACAAACCTTGACAATTATCAACTCATTTAATCTTGTTTGACTTTTTTTTTTTTTTTTTTCTATTTCACTTTCGCATTCATTAATCTTGCCAAAAAAACAAACAAACAAACAAACAAACAGAGGTCTTTGTAACAATTAAATTAAAATAAATTTTTTTATAATTTTTATTATTCGAAAAAGAAAAATTGATGGGATAAGGGTGGTGGTGTTACGAGTAGTAGTGGTTCAGTAGTAGGGAGGAGGAGGAGGAGGTGGTGGTGGTGGTGGAGGTAGTAGGAATGTTTAACATTGCATAAATGTTAAATTTATTTAAATCAATCAATCAATCAATCAATCCTCCTCAAATTTATTATGCACTATAACCTTATCACACCACATCAATCTCATAATTATCTCTTTCTCTCTCTTTTTTTTTCTTTGTCTCTCATCATCATCATCATCATCATCATCATCATCATCATCGAATCATCTCTGATGAGATAAAATAAAATCAATAATTGAAGAATATTTTTAAAATTAATTTTGCCCTTTTTTTTTTTTGTCTCAATCCATTTTCCATTCTCAGTTTTCTACAAAATGTATATATTTCGGCGCCAAATTTAAATTCAAAATGGCGTCAAATAAAAATGAAAACTTATGAGAAATCAATTCACTGGGTTTTTTTTTTTTTTTTTTTTAACCGGAAATGGTTATTAATTTTTTGAAAAGGAAAAATTAAATTCTTCGATTATTGACAATTATTATTATTATTATTTTCGTTGTTGTTGTTGTTCGTGTAAACGTAAAAATAATAATAATAATAATAATTTTTATTTATTAATTGAAAAAATTCCCCAATTTCCCTCTTTACCCCCCCCCCCCCCAAAAAAAAAATTTTGTTGACAAATTAAATATTTATAAAATTATTTATAATTCTATTTGAAAAAAAAAAAAAAAAAAAAAAAAA